TTTCAATGTTTTCTTTTCTTTATTTTTTGTTATTAAAATTTCATTTTTATTAAGAGTTTTGTTTTATTTTTCGTCGGCTTTAATTCACATTATATTATCTTATATACAAACCACGTCATAAACCCAATTCACATATAACATCATTATAGTGACAGTTTCAGTATCGGTTATACGTTTTTTTTTTTTTTGTATATGTAAATAATTTTTAGTGGTATTTTTTTTTTTTTGTTTTTTTTTTGATTTAATTTTTACACATTGAATAAGATATACGGCTTCAAACCGCACAAAACGCCAATCGCTGCATATTAAGTATGAAATTAGAATTGAATAATAAATAAATATGGAAGGCCTACACGTTATACACTTGTATTATTAAATATTATAGGTGGGGCCATTTTTTGTGAGAAATTTCACATACATATATAATATTTGAAGTGAAAGATCTGCTAAATCGTTTCAGGAATAGAAATGTTTTAGAAAAAATGCTTCCATAAATTCATAAAGCCATCGATTCTCACGTTGAAAATGGCAGGAAAATGGCAATATTTAGGAAATTTTGGAATAGATCGTAGGTCAATTTCTGACAATAGCTTATGTGGAGAGTAGGAAAGGATCCCGATCAAAGATGAGAATGATCCTTGAGGCGATTTTTGATGTATTGCTACCTCATATACTTAAACGCCCGAATCTCTTCGTATTAAGTGGCCTTTCTGCTTGTATCGGATATCTTATGGACAAGAACTTCTGGATTATCTACAATTTTGGAATGATAAGAGGTTGACTTTCAAGCAAATTATGCAGATATTGTGTAAAGTGACACCTTTTGTTTTGGAAAACGAACATATTTCAACGATTTGGTCAACAAAGATTCAGTCAAGGTGCCGTCTTGCGTTATTATTATGTGTTTTGTAGCAAGACCTGCTTGGTTTTAGTTTTCTATTGATAGCGAGATCCTTTTCAACAAGTTGGCAAAAGAGTGCGAATCTGTTTTAATTTAAAATTTCTTGAACACTGCCAATTGCAAATTAAATTTAGCTTGAATGACTTTGAATTGTGTAGATTAGAAATTTTAAACATCTTCCCTGTATGTAGAATAGACAGAGCAGGTCGTCTTGATCTTGAGAACAGCTTGCAAGTTAGTAATCGTTGAATGGCTTCTCTTCAGCGGCCTTTTAGATAATCATCAGCAGATTTTACTGTGCGATCACTAACTTTTAAAATGTACCGGCACCTTTGACTATTAGCCAGTAACGTAAACGATAAGTCAGTTAAGGCATTAATCCACTAACAAGGTATAACATTGACGCGATTATTGTAAAGTAAATGCAGGGCAATGTGATCGAAACGTTCATAGAATTCCAAAAGTCCAATTATTTATACCATATCTTGTCGCACCGGTACAAGAACC